CTTAAGTTTTTCGATTTCAAGACGACAAACCTCTTTTACCTTGATCTCGATAAAGGAATATATATCATCCACTCTCGGGTTATCTTGGCCATTGGCAGGACTTTCGATTTGAGAAAACGTTGTGTCGGTTTCAATTGTTTGCGAGCCTAGCTTTTCCGATACAATGGCGTCGCGAAGTCGCTGCACTAGAGTACATTTGTTGCCGCTTTTCTTATATCCTCGCTTATCCAGTTCAGCTTTCAGTTCTTCAATTTTCAATGATGAAATCTCTTTGTTGTCGGGGAGCGCCAAGGCAGCCAAGGGATGATCTGATTTACTTGTCTCCGCCCTTGTTAGGTTTTCATTCGGTTCGGCGTCGGCTGCTTCGTCTTCGCTCACATCTCGGTCAATTGATTCAAGAACTTCTAAACTTTGATCTGCATCAGTTCCGCTCAATTCCTGAAGCAGCGAAAACTTATTAAAGCTTGCCCGACACACAGATTCGTTACTCAACGTTGCCATCCTATCCCTGTGCTTGTCAGTTTGACAAGTAAAAGTGGTGAATGTAATTCTCGTAAATGAATGTAACTTCCGTCAACTTCCGTCATGTTGGCCTGTCTTCTCCTTTGCGAGCATTTTCAAATTTTAGGATCGTATTTTACCGCATACAAACACTGTAATTTTACTGGATTCGTACTGTGGTAGTATTACCCTGGGTTCCAGAGGATATTTTTTTCTTATCGATACTGAAGCCGCGTTAACGCAAAAAAAAAGCTTCGCCGCGAACCATCAGTGTCGATAAGAAAAAAATATCCTCTGGAACCCAGGGTATGGTAGTATCAAAGAGACTGGACTTTTTTCTCCTGGGTTCCCGAACTACCTAGAAAGTGTGAGAATTTGTTTTTGCTGTTCAGCTGATTTTATTCAGCCTTCTTTCCATTTGTTTTGTGATGTTGTAATAGCTTTATCGCTTAGTATAAATAGAGCACTGTTATTCCTGTTTTTCGATTTACATTGCGCAGTTATATGCTTGTACGATTTACATCGCGGAGTTATATGCTTGTACGATTTACATTGCGGATTTATTTGATTGTATAATTTACGTTCACGAACTGAAGATTAAACTGTTGAAGTCCAAGTTTGAGTCCTGTCCTGTTTCCAGTTGTAGCAGATCCGAGTACCTTAGCTTGGAACAGTGACGAGTTCCTTTCCCGCTAGCCAAGCAAACGAGTTGCAGAGTTAGTTTTCCCCCCTTGTTGTCCTTACGCCGAAGTCGCTCGAGTTCTCTTAACGCTTATTTCCCCGATTTGTGCTTGGAAGGGCAAAAACTATCGTCACAACTGTATGCCTTGGGTATTGAATTTTAAGAATGGTATTTTAACACTTTTTAAAATTTTAAAATGATGTTGAAGATGCAAAAGTAGCAGACATAACGGCGATTCGGTGACAAAAGCGCAAAAAAATTACATAAACTGTAGCGAAATGTTAAACGCGATTTAAGAACGTAAACGGTCCAACAGATTTGTAATAATTCCGTGACGGAACACCATTCCATTCCAAGAATTAATTGGGGATAATTTCGGGGTCGACGTGAAGAAAAATGGGGATCATTTCGGGGTCGGTATCATTTCGGGGTCGATTTGGGGATCATTTCAGGGTTGGGGATCATTTCGGGGTCGGGATCATTTC